TCCACCCTCCATCCCCCACCCCAAGCACTGTGACTACAGCTAGCTCTGTTACACAACCAGGTCTTTACTGGGTTTCTGGGAAATTGAAGTCAAGTCCTCCTGCTTGCATAGCAAGTGCTCTTAGCCTCTGGGCCACCTCCCCAGCACCCCCACCCTTCTCCACACGTGGGCTTTTGAGTCTGTTTTTTCTCTAAATATTGTGTTATTTAGAAGTTTATTGTTACTCAAGGGTGTTTTGTAAGTGAATTTGTTGTTTTAAGTCAGGATCTTACTTATTAGGAAACACAGGCGACTCCCAAGCTCACAACGCCCCTGTCTCAGCTCTCCTAGGGGTGTACTACCACACTGCCTTCCTGTGGACTCACCTTTGATGTTCCTTCAGAGAAGACTAAAGGACAGCTTACAAATCCCCATGTTTTCCCTTTTTAGCCCACTGTTATCAGACTCTGTCTACATAGAGATCGTTACCCATACAGTCTTAAGTCCAGAAGAAAGACGCAATATGCTGCCCATTTTGAGATGTCCCTTAGCACAGGGCACTGAGTTCCCTGTTCAGTCTTTATCTTTCCTATGTAACCGACTCACGGCTGAATTTTGAAGTGCCTATGTCTATGTATGCACCCCTTGTTCTTCCCTGCTGGTCCCAAACTTAGAAGATTTAGGTATATTAAAGCTATCTGATATACCACTGGGGAGGAACAAGGTGTGTATGCATAGAGACAGGCACTTCAGAATATATATAGATTGAGTTGAGTCATCAGTATTTAGTGACTTCAAGCGTGTCCTTCCCAGTGCTCCTGTATTCTAGACTCCTCATGACACCTCCATTGTCTGCCAGCCTGACTGGCTGCAGTGACTGGCACGAATCACACAGGTTGGAGAGTCACTAGGCACTTGGGCTTTAAGGGTCATCCCACCCCTGGTGTCGGCCTGACTGAGAGCTAGAACCCGCCACCACCTCAGCTGAGGCCTTGAATACTCGAGATGGGCAGAGCCCGGTGTGTCCCTGAGGCTAGGCCGTGCAGCACCAGGACCCAGACTGCAGATGTAGGGTCAGGCTCTAGCTCTTATTCAATCTCTGGGACTGAAAGAAAAACACTTGAATTTTTTTGTAACATAGGAAATCAAAACAATCACAAATTTTTTTTTTCAAAATTCCACTCTCCAGAGGAGAACTGGATACTCTTTTTATATTTGTTTTTGTTTTGTTCTCTTTAATGAAAAACTTTTTTGTTTCATTTTACATACCAACCCCAGTTCTCCCTCCTTCCCCTTCTCCTACCCCCCCCCACGTCCCCACCTTCCCACTCCCCATCCAGTTCTCAGAGGGGTTAAGGCCTCTCTTGGGGAGTCAACAAAGTCTGGCTTGCCAATTTGAGGCAGGGTCAAGCCCCTCTCCCCTGTATCAAGGCTGCACAAGGTATCCCACCCTAGGGAATGGGCTCCAAAAAGCCAGTTCATGTACCCAGGTCAAGTTTTGGTCCCACTGCCAGCCACCCCGCCCCCACCCGCCAACAGATCAAGCCACATAATGTCCCCCACCAGCTGTCAGTCCATGGCTGTGAGCTCCCACTAGCTTGAATCAGCTGTCTCTGTTTTCCCCCATCATGACCATGACCCCTCTACCCCTCACAGGATCTGGAAGGGCGCTCTTGAGTAATCCAGGGCTAGCTGCCTCGATGTCCCCATTTGTTTTGTTAAAGAATTACTTTAAACCACAGCATTCACATCATTGCAGGGGGACAGCTGAGCTGGTCAGGGAATACTAGCCTAAGAGGAGAGAACTCAAGCTAGTCTCTGGTTCAAGTTGAACTCTGACATTTTGAATCAGCAATTTTTTTTTTTAATTCTTGCTCTTTGTTTTTAGCCGATCACAGAAAAAAATGCAGATGGTTTCCAACATTTCCTTCTTCGCCATGTTTGTCATGTACTTCCTGACCGCCATCTTTGGGTACTTGACATTCTATGGTAAGTTACTTCCACTCGTGTGTACCTATCTGTGTTTAAAGACAGCAGGGAAAACCAGCACTGAAGTAGCTTCACATTGAAGTCAGAGAGTGCCTTCTGTTTTGTTTCATCTTGGCTTTTCCTCATAGCAGGCGGCAATGGTTCCTCCCATATTCGTTCAGGCCGCCTGCTAGAATAATCAGTGGAAAATAATATCAGTTATGTTCCTGTGGAGCTTTTTCTTTTTCAGGGAGATTGCCTTTAAGAAAGATGCCATCTTAGGAACATCTAAAACGACATCACGGAAGGCTTTCCTACTTGATACTGAAAATTGGGTCAGATTCCATTAATAGAAAAGAGAGAGAGAGAGATGCTGGAAGTGGGAAAAGGCCCAGCCCACACTCATGACACCCAGCGTTAATTAAAAATAAAGCAGCTGATTGTTCGCCGGAACTTGGTGCCCTGCAAAGACGGGAACAAGTGAGAGTTGAGAAAGAAAGTGTGTCCCGTTTGTGCTGCTGACCCTGTTGGGAGAGTTTGTGCCTTTTCCATTCATCCGATGACCCTGCATCTCCACTTAAGCCTTCCATGACTGTCACAGTTTGAGAACTATTTAAGTAGATTTTACCATCTTTTTTCTTAAATGCTTCTTTAGGATTCCCCCCCACCATAAAATTAAATAAAATTTAAACACATTTACAGATTAATTCAGCTTGGAGAAAGGGTGTCGATTTCATAAGCAATAGGGAACAGCATTGCCAAGCTCATTCATTTTTCTAGAAATGCTGTCAGGAGGGTCATGCATCACAGGGCCGGTGGGTGAGGTAAGAGAGAAGAGAGCTAACAGTCAAGGCCCGGGTTACCTTGCTCAAGTTACGAGTCTTCTTTGTAAGTTCATTTTGTCATCTGTAGTAGAATGTTGGGTCCTTTTATATGATCCGTGGGTGATATCTCAAGTAGTTAAAGATGGCTACGCATTTTGAGTAAAGAAAATTAGATCTAATGAGATTTTTATTACAACCTCTAGTCCCGTTTCAGAAACAGACACCAAGGCCTTTGAGACTGGCTGCAGTCTGAATTCCTTGCCCACCACCTTGAGACAGGTGCAGTGAGGGAGGCCCCGAAACAGAGTCTTGAGGGGTAGGCACTTGTCAAAAGAGTGAGCGTTTGCTCGCCCTTCCGAGGCTTCCATTGCAGCATCGTCAGCCCTTGAGATAACGCTTTCTACAGTTGTAAGCTGAGGAAAATCAAAGGAGCCCATACACTAAAGACTGTTTTGGGAGAGCAATGAACATAACCAGGAAGGGTTCTTTCCTGAAGGTGTCTGAGTTGGCTTACCCTCTGCTGCTTGGTCCCGGAAGTTGTGTTACAGGGTACAAGTAGGAAGGAGAGGTGTTTGTGTGGCCCATAGTTCCTGCAGGGAGACGGGCAGTGTTTGGGTTGAGTTCCCAGTGTGGAAAGTTAGGCACAGAGGGCTTTAGGCTTCCTCCGTGTGTGTGTGTGTGTGTGTGTGTGTGTGTGTGTGTGTGTGTGTGTGAGAGAGAGAGAGAGAGAGAGAGAGAGAGAGAGAGAGAGAGAGAGAGAGAGAGA